TCAGCTTCCTACTCTGGAAAACGGGCATGATGGTGACAGAATGCAGTCCCTGTGAGTAACCACGGGATTGTTACATAAACCAAATGAGATTGTGTGGGTTAATGTATGTTAGAAACAATGAGGCACTTCATTAATTCATTCCGCATTCATTGAGCATCGTCTGTGCAGGTCTCTGTACCAGGGACAGAGGTGTGAGAAAAAGGTTGCCAAAAGCTTCTGGGAAAAGTTGCCTTGCTCTTAAGAGGCACAAGATGGAATGGTTTCTCTTCATATGGATATAGGGCTCAGGTGCTATTCTGAGAGATGAAGCTGGCATGCAACTCGTCACATGAGCCAATAAGGTCCCTTCAGAGTTTAGCCCATTTAGTATATTTTCTTTTATAGGTAGCCAGCCAACGGCATCCAGAGACGGGTGTGAACAGCCTTTGAGACTTGAAGAACCAGTCTCCCAAAGGCCAAAGGAGCGTGAGAGGAGATTTGGTGCCGACATCAGCCTTTGACTTCTACTTGGCTGGCCGCATCTCTTGGATCCTTGCTTGATTGACAGCCCAATTCTGTGAGTCTCAATGCCTTGCTCAGCCTAAACCCTATAATGCTGGCCATTGGCTTGTTCTGATCCCCAGATATGCCTGTAGACCCAAAACCTCTAACACCCTAATGTTTCTGCTGCTGCCTGGAGAACATGCAGGTGTGCTGCCTGCTGACCCCAGAGCCCCCTCTCATGCATGGCCCAGTACTACTCTGCTGACAGACCCCTGCCTTGTCTCCCCGACTCAGCCTCTGCCAAGGGAAACCCTGTTCTCTCAGCTCTCTAGCCTTTCCTAACTCCCCCGAAGGAGAAAATGCTTTTTCAAATAACAGGCAGTACAAAGAAAAATACTGAGAAAGGGCAACTTCATATTGCCTTATTTATACCCCAGAAAATTTTCAATCATGAAGATATAATAAAATCATGATGTAGGCCAGGCACAGTGGCATACACCTGTAGTCCCAGCACTCTAGGAGGCTGAGGCAGGCAGATCACTGGGGCTCAGGAGTTGGAGACCAGCTTTGCCAACCCAATGAAACCCTGTCTCTACTCCAAGTAGCCAGGCAGGGTGGTACACACTTGTCATCCCAACTATTCAGGGGCCTGACGCAAAAAGATCACCTGAGCCCAGGAGGTTGAGGCTGCAATGAGCCAAGATTGTGCCACTGCACCCCAGCCTGGGCAACAGAGACCCTGTCTTAAAACAAAAACAAAAACAAAAACAAAACCCACAGCATTTATTTGAAAAAACTTAAGGTAGATAACCATTACCTAAAAACCGTTTTTGAAATAATTTACTACATCAAATAGCTTCTGCTTTTTCAGACACAAAACAGACATTAAGAATGTGTTTCAAACTATTTAAGTCAGTATAGAACGTGGTAGTGAACTATTCTGGAGGTTCCTGGCTGTGCTGGTCTTGTGTTGGGGGCAGGCACTCAAGTAGCCAGGGCTAGTTTACCAGTTGAAGGGACAAGTTTCAATGGTTTCTCAACTGGGACAGCCGTTAACAGCTGAATATCCTATTCGATAAGTGGTTTTTTGTGTGGAGTTGTTGCTTGGAGACATAGTCTCGCTCTGTCACCAGGGTGGAGTGCAGTAGCACCATCTCGGCTCACTGCAAACTCCGCCTCCCGGGTTCAAGTGATTCTCCTGCCTCAGCCTCCCGAATAAGTGTGACTATAGGTGCGCACCACCACACCCAGCAAATTTTTGTATTTTTAGTAGAGACAGGGTTTCACCATGTTGGTCAGGATGGTCTTGATCTCTTGACCTTGTGATCCGCCTGCCTCAGCCTCTCAAAGTGTTGGGATTACAGGTGTGAGCCACCATGCCCGGCCTAAATACATATATTTTAACTTTGTAATATTGGATTTTTAAATGGGCAGCTATCTAAAATATATAAATATCTAAAATATATAAAATACTCAGTGATGGGCAGCTATCTAAAATATATATATATATATATATATACACACACACATAAATGGGCTGGGTGCAGTGGCTCATTCCTGTAAACCCAGCACTTTGGGAGGCTGAGGTGAGAGAACTGCTTAAGCCCAGGAGTTACAGACCAGTCTGGGCAGCAAAGCAAGACTCCATCTCTACAAATTTTTTTTTTTTTTTTTTTTGAGATGGAGTTTCACTCTTGTTGCCCAGGCTGAAGTGCAGTGGCGCCATCTCTGCTCACTGCAACCTCTGCCTCTAGGGTTCAAGTGATTCTCTTGCCTCAGCCTCTGGAGTAGCTGGGATTCCAGGGATGTGCCACCACACCTGGCTAATTTTTTTTTTGACACAAAATCTCATTCTGTTGCCCAGGCTGGAATGCAGTGGTGTGACCTTGGCTGACTGCAGCCTCTGCCTCCCAGGTTCAAGCTATTCTCGTGCCTTAAGCCTCCTGAATAAGACTCCTAAGACTATAGGCGTGTGCCACCACACCTGGCTAATTTTTGTATTTTCTTTACTAGTACAGATGGGGTTTCACCATGTTGATCAGGCTGGTCTCGAACTCTTTAACCTCAAGTGATCCGCCTGCCTCGGCCTCCCAAAATGCTGGATTACAGGCATGAGCCACTACACCTGGCCTCTACAAATCTTTTTTTCTTTTTTTTAAAGAAATCAGCTGGACATGGTGGTACATGCCTGTAATCCCAGCTCCTTAGGAGGCTAAAGTGGGAGGATCACTTATGCCCAAGACTGAGGTTGCAGTGAGCTAAGATCATGCTACTGCATTCCAGCTTGGTGATGCAGCAAGACCGTATCTTTAAAAAACAAACAAACAAACAAAAAAAAAACCCTATAAACAAATTTAACAACTATAACCAAACTTTATTTGAAAAAACTTAAATGATATAAATAACCATTACCTAAAAATGATTTTGAAAGAATTTACTACCACATCAAATGGCAAAAGTGTTTGTGGAAATTGTAATGCATACTTGGCGACGGTTCAAAAGGCCAATGTTGAAAGCTATTATTAAAAATAGATTCTTGGCCAGGCACAGTGGCTCATGCCTGTAATCGCAGCACTTTGGGAGGCCGAGGTGGGTAGATCACCTGAAGTCAGGAGTTTCAGACCAGCCTAACATGGTAAAACCCCGTCTCTATTTAAAAAAAAAAAAAAAAGAAAGAAAGAAAAATAAAAAATTAAATTTAAAAAAAAAAAAAAAATCCGGGCCGGGTGCGGTGGCTCAAGCCTGTAATCCCAGCACTTTGGGAGGCCGAGGCGGGTGGATCATGAGGTCAAGAGATTGAGACCATCCTGGTCAACATGGTGAAACCCCATCTCTACTAAAAATATAAAAAAAATTAGCTGGGCGTGGTGGCACGTGCCTGTAATCCCAGCTACTCAGGAGGCTGAGGCAGGAGAATTGCCTGAACCCAGGAGGCGGAGGTTGCGGTGAGCCGAGATCGCGCCATTGCACTCCAGCCTGGGTAACAAGAGCGAAACTCCGTCTCAAAAAAAAAAGGATCCTTAAAATGTAACATGGAGGGGAAAGATGAACTTGAAAAAGATAAAGGTAAATTAACCTTGGTTTTAGGCCTAATAACAAGTAAGAAAGTCTGTTTAAAAAACAAGGCTGGGAGGGGCAGGAAGAAGAGGGTTGCTCATGCCTTAATCCTAGCACTTTGGGCGGCAGAGGCAGGGGGATATCACCTGAGGCCAGGAGTTCCAAACCAGTCTGGGCAACATGGCGAAACTCGTCTCTACTAAAAATGCAAAAATTAGCTGGGCATGGTGGTACACACCTGTAATCCCAGCTACTTGGGAGGCTGAGGCAGGAGAGTCACTTGAATCCAGGAGACGAAGGCTGCAGTGAGCTGAGATCGCACCACTGCACTCCAGCCTGGGAAACAAGAAACTGTCTCAAATAAACAAACAAACATGCCTATTTAAGGAGGCTTTTTCCCTTAGGCTTAGTTGGTGTTGAGAAGCTCAGCAAAGGCGCTTTGGGGTACTACCTGATAACAGCAAAACGAAGGAAACCTGAAGGTGAAAATTTAGGAAAACACCCCCCAGAGGGACAAGTTATCCTTTTTACCAGTCACCAACACAGAAGACCAAAAGTTGTATATAAGAAAATGATATAAAGATTTCAGAGTTACTCTAACTCAGTGGCATCAGTCATGCAAAGAGCCCTGCAGTTGAAGTGGTCTCCTGTGGCGCACAGCCTGAGTGACAGTGCACTTCATGGCTATCATGCCCTGTTGGTGTTGGGGCAGCCTGTATCACCTAGAAACCACAACTGCAGTAACCACTGATAATAGAGACCTGTGTTACTTCTACAAGTGTTCAATTCCAACTGTACAACTGTAATACGTTCTAGAGTTCAAAATCTTAAGTCCAGAAATACTACTCTAATGGGCCAGGTCCCAGACATTCTTCCTCACACCAACCAGCTAGTCTCCTTTTGATCTTACTCCAAACCCCAGTGTACTAAATTCGAAGTGCCTATAAAGATTTAGAACAGTACAGACTACCAGATACAAAACATTTCTCAGCAACCAAAAATAAAAGAAGGGAAATGGGCCATTGATGCAGATGGGGCTCTTGGATTAAATGCCATATAAATTGCATGTGTGGAACCAAATAGGGCAGAAAACCTTCAGTTAATGAAGCAGAGTTTGGCAAATTGGGAACTTGATGAGGGTTTTCTTTTTTTTTTTTTTTTTTTTTTAAGGTAAATCTGTTATCACTTAGAATGGCCTTAGTTTCCCATTCTCTCACCACCTTTACAGGAGCCCACATGCCTGTGACATCAAATCTGTCAAACTTGGGGAATGAAAAGACATTAATAGTTCTTGAAAGGTGGCCTTAGTTAATTATACCCACTATAAGATACTAATTTCATTACTTAAGGAATTTTTTTGTTCCTCAGAATTTCCAGAATCACAAGTGATACCTGCCAATTACAGTTTAAGTTACTAGTGGATATACAACTCTTCAATGCAGAAACTTAGTCTCATTATGTTGGTTACATATACTGTTTTTATTTGGGTTTGCTGAATAAGAATACCCAATTTCTTCTACAGGTCCATTCCTTCTCTATAACGGTCACTACAAACAACCCTGATGTGGCTGGAATATAGTCAGCAAGGGGCCCACGTGAACAGCTCATCTGGAATCTCTGCAAGTACATATTTATATCCTTTGGTGCCTTGCACAGTAAGGCACTATTAATGATAGAATAGAGGAAATGCCCACAGCAAATAGTTCTGGTGACAATTTACTAGACAAGTCACAGTTTAATAATGGTGGTGGTGATTGTTTCTTTCATTTTATTATGTTTTACAATAAGGGTGTAGCCTTTATACTCCACACACACAAAATAAAACAAGTGCTTATTACGAAGAGTCCCTGCCCCCACCCCCCAAGAACATCCTGAATATAGCAATTCAACAGAACAGAAAAATCAAGACAAGTTTGATTTCAAAATTTCAATAAAAAAGCAAAAGTATGTAATGCAACAGCTGTTCAATTTCCAACTCTAAACAGGCACCATTAAACAAAAAACCCAGTATTTTAAATTTCTCCAGCACACATTCCAGGATCAATGCTCTGAACTGTAATCACTAGTAATTCATAAAGGGAGTAGAGCCTTAGAATGGAAGCTATATTGCTTCCCTGCCCACCTTCTCTTACAATTGGAGAGTGTAGGTATTAAGGGATACAAAGTCAGAGAAAGAAGAATTAAAAAGAAAATGCCCAAAGCTGCAGCTGTTTGGACTAGGAAGACAGCATTTTACAAATGTTCAAAAAATCCCAAGGCAAGTAACACAATTTGTTCACTATCACTCTTGAAAGAATAAAGAGATCAGCATCTTATTATATAAAACGGTACTTTCAGAACTGTATTACATGTTCACCAGAAACTATGGATGTAGTTTTAGGCATCATCAAGGAAAACAGGTTCAGTTCAGATCAAGTTAGATACTGTACATCTAGCCTAGCTGGATTGGTGTCTGGATCTGCTTACTGTCACCCTGAACAGCTGTGAACTAAACAATAGTACGTAACTCCGTAGGAAGCTTAAGGATTGAAGAAATGTACACAGCTAGTTAGATCTCCCCTGCTTCGCGCTCTTCAGAGCTCCTCCTGTCTTCTGATCTGCCATTAGCACTCTCATAGGACCGCTTCTTATCTTTCCGATCTCTGTCACGAGGTGATCTGTCTCTTGAACTCCTGTCTCTGTCACATGATGCTAAGTCTTGGTCTCTGAATCTTTCTTTTGAGGATCTGAAAAATATTAATTTGAGGAGCAAAATATGTTGGGAAACCCAAAAACCCAAATTAAAGAATAGGATAAATATTAAGCTATTGATAGCTGAAGATATATCGAAGAATATACACAAGACAGAGGAGTCAGTTTTCTGACAAAATAAAAAAGGGCACTAAAACAAGAAGATGGGGAAAAACAAATAGCTGAGGGTCAGAAGGCTAAAATAATTTCTTACAGGCTACTCATTATCTCAGAGACAACACAGTTCCTCCAATTCGTAAAAGGTATTTTAATATAAAAATAATATATAGATAATAGCTTTAAAAAGTGAAAGGTATTATCTAAATTTTAAATGACTTAGAACAGAGGCCAGATGGTGAATATCTGGGGTGCTGCGGGTCCATGCAATCTCTGTGGCAGTGTTCTTCCTTTTCTTTTTAGAATGTAAAAACCATCCATAGCTTACTGGTTGTACAGGCTACCAGCCGGATTTGGCCTATCGGCAACAGTCTGCCAACACCTGACTTAGGTAAGATTACTACTCAATTATTAGTAATATGGATTTAAATAATCACTTTATTTTTAAAATCTACTCATCTCGGGTTAGCTTATTCAACCAACAAGGGGGAAATGAGACAAAGATGCTCACACTAATAAATCTTGATTAGCCATTAACTGTTTACTACCCTCTCCATTCCCATACCCAACTTCAAAAAGAAAGATAAGTAACAATCAGAAGGAAAACCAAACATATTATGAAATCAGAACATGGAATCTTCTATACTTCCAACATCTAGAATTCAACAAATTACATTTATTTGGTTCTTTACAGGTGACACAGTACTTTCACATAATTTATCTCACTTCACTCATATTCAGAATTAGGATCTGAGGCACTACCAAGAACCTGAATAAGTAATACTTTAAGAAAATAAAAATGTGACTGTTCAGTTTTAGAAACATAGTTAAGGAGGGTTAAACAAAAGTTCTAAAATAATATCAACTTTCAGCATTCTACTTAATGTTTTAATAAACTTAATTTTAAAAAGATGTAAAAAGGCTGAGTGTGGTGGCTCACATCAGCACTTTGGGAGGCCAAGGCGAGCAGATCACTTGAGGTCAGGAGTTCAAGATCAGCCTGGTCAATGTAGTGAAACCCATCTGTACTTAAAATACAAAAAATTAGCTGAGTATGGTGGTGCACACCTGTAGTCCCAGCTACTCGGGAGGCTGAGGCAAGAGAATCGCTTGAACCTGGGAGGTGGAGGCTGCAGTGAGCCTAGATCGCACCACTGCACTCCAGACTGGGTGACAGAGTGAGACTCCATTTCAAACAAACAAAAAAATTCACATAGTGCCAAGACTAGTAATTTCATGTCTACACTAGCCCTATCCATAGCCTTTGTTGGAATAAAATATATAAAGAGACGGTAGAAATGACACCTAAAAATAAGGACACTAGATGCTAAACAGTCCCAGGGTCGGTAACAATAACTGAACGACAACAACAAAATCAACTACTATGTCCCAACATAAGCGGCTTCCATACACTATTTTACTCAAACTACCAATAATCTTAAAGCAGGTATTCTTACCATCTCCACTCAGTAGTAGATGGGGAAAGACAGGTGGGATAATTAAATTACTTAGCCAAGACCAGATGCAGTGGCTCACACCTGTAATCCCAGCACTTTGGGAGGCCAAGGCGGGTAGATTACCTGAGGTCAGGAGTTCGAGACCAGCTTGGCCAATGAGACAAAACACTGTCTCTACTGAAAATACAAAAATTAGCCAGTTATGGTGGCATGGGCCTGTAATTCCAGCTACTTGGGAGGCCGAGGCAGGAGAATTGCTCAAACCCAGGAGGTGGAGGTTGCAATGAGCCCACGCCACTACCCTCCAGCCTGGGCAACAGAGTGAGACTCCTTTTCAAAAAAATAATAAATTACTTAGCCAAAACCAATGAACCCAAAGTCAGACTACAAAGTCCAACTTTGAAGTCTGCATTAAACATGTTTGAACAGAGCAAAAAGAACAGAGCAAATGGTCCTCATTTACACAGGGTACTGTTGCCAGGAAGAGGTCACAAAGGCAATCTACTTATATCAGAGACCAGTATTTCAGAGAAGGAAAAGGAGAACAGCAAAATATAAAAAGCTTTAAAATGAGAACCTTTACCTTGAAAAATTAAACCCAAATATATAGCAATAACTTGATGTTGTATATAATACCAAGTAGGTTTTAACAGCAATTATCTGATAATTTTTCATAAAAACAAAGAATGATGCTTTAAAAGAATAATTTGAATTCAAAGATGAGAAAGTGCTTCATAAAAGCAAAACTTTTAATAATTTTACAAAAATAATCCTCTTTATGAACATGCTGACATCTTAGATATGAGGGGTATCGTAGTACGGTAGAAAATTTCCTATACAACTTCATAAATGCAGGAAGCATTAGGGACTAAGATAACACAATCGCAGATGAGGGAACTTCACTCCCACCCTTCCCATACCCACCACCAATAAAGACATTTAAGAGTTCAGCAACACCAACAATGACAGTTGGGCAGATCGACACAAGAAAATGTCTAAACCTTCCATCACCTAGCAGGATAATTCTGAAAATTCATTGTGCAGATAAAACAGTTAATTTTTTAAAAATGCTTATTTCTGAACACTGCACTGAGAGTAGACCCCAAAATCCAGTTTCGAGAGTGTGAGATAAGAGGCTTACAAATCACTGTCCCTCACAAACTCCCTGCTCATTCTCCCCATTTGCCTAGTATATTCACTCTATATGGAGTATCTTTTTCCTAGCTGATTCTACCTGTTCAAATTTTATTGCCTATCTGAAGCCATTTTTGATTACTCTGTTATATGCCTCATCTAAACTCTTGGACCATTTATGATAAGCAGTTTAGAACTTTATAACATGTGGTAGTCTCATGCCAGTCTATTGTCAGAGATGTCGGTCCTGTGTTCTAACTCACATAGGAAGCCTTTTTTTCTTTTTTCTTTTTCTTTTTTTTTTTTTTTTTTGAGAGACGGAGTCTTACTCTGTCATCCAGGCTGGTGTGCAGTGATGCAATCTCGGCTCACTACAACTTCTGCCTTTGGGTTCAAGCAATTCTCCTGCCTCAGCCTCCTGAGAAGCTGGGATTACAGGCATGCGCCACCATGCCCGGCTAATGTATGTATGTTAGTAGAGATGGGGTTGGGTGGCCAAGCTGGTCTTGAAGTCTTGATCTCAAGTGATCTGCCCGCCTGAGTCTCCCAAAATGCTGGGATTACAGGCATGAGACACCATGCCCAGCCTCACTTAGGAAACTTCTTAGAGCAACTTAAAGTTATTCAGCTATGTTTTACGTCTTTATTATGTTTTTCTAAGTCTAGTACAGTAGAACGTATACAATTATTATTAAAACCACCTTAAGGACTACTAAAAACATGGCCAGAATATAAGAAATAAAATATTGTTTGAGAGCCTATTAACAAACTCAGCTTGTGAGTGATTTCAGGGAATGGAAAGTTGAGTCAAAGAAAAGGGGGAAAGATTTTAACAGCTTTCCATGGATTTTATTATAGATTTTACGTGGAGTAATCCACAGAGTATGTAAGACTAGTAGGTACTAGGCACTCAAAAAATGTTTATCATACATATACTTAAGAATAGTTGTCAAGAAAAAAGCAATTTTAAACATGGCTTGCATACACAGAAATTACCTGGTTTAAGGGCCATCATGTGACCTGAGAAGTTCTGAGAGTTTGATCTGTACAGACTATGAGTGCTAAACTCCTCTACCACATCATAATCCTTTGCCTATTCTTAATAGATATTCAAGTCCTCAAACATACCTTACCCTATGTCTGCAACTTTTGAATTTTTTCATTATACCAAGAAAGTCTTGAAACTTCCTTAAGATTATGAGTCTGCCCTGCCAAGCTAAAGGTATATAACAATACATATTTATAGTGCAGATTAAACAAGAATATACTAGAATGTGTCTGCTCTGAGAAAGCATCTCAGCTCAAATCAAAGCGAAACAACTCTTTTAATGAAGGGACTTCTCAGAGCCCCTAATTTGCTGATCCATACTAAGGGCATTGGTACTTAAAATTATTTACCTGTAAGGAACTTTTTTCCAAGACATACTAAGCAGAGAAAAGCAATAACCTCTGCACATATTGGTTCCAATTTCTTGCTCTGGCTCATTAAGTATATTCTTTCAAAACGATCCATATAATCACAGAAAAATGTTTTATACCCACACACAAATGTGTACATATTACCAGATGCAAAAGTTTCAAACCAATAATCTAAACTCCAAACATAAGTAACGTAAGTAAACATAACCAACTCTAAAACATTAAGGTAGCTCCATATCCTCTGATTGACACATCAATACCTCCTCTTGGATCGTTCTCTGCTCCTATCTCTAGAACTGTGCCGACTTCTCTGGTGGCTACGGCTGCGGCTACGGCTGCTGGAGCGGGACCTGTGGCGATGGCGTTTCTCCCGAGATTTAGATCGAGTTCTCCTCTTGCGTTCACGTGACATGGAGCGAGATCGATGTCTGCGATGCTCTCTGGATCTGGATCTACCAGACAAGATGTGATTTTGTTTTGACCTTTGTAAGTAATACATTTCTCATTTATTAAAGCCCATTCTTTCAAGAGAAACTTTTTTTTTTTTTTTTAGTATTCTTACTTAATGCCAATTATATTGCAAGTCAGCTAACTCTACGCTAAATTGCTGGTGTGTTAACAGCTACATATTAGAATTCAAAAATAAAACACTAATAATTCTCAGCCAGGCACCGTGGCCCACACGTGTAATCCCAACACTTTGGGAGGCTAAGGCAGGAGGATCGCTTGAGCTCAGGATTTCGAGACCAGCCTAGGCAACATGGTGAAAAACTGTCTCTATAAAACATACAGAAATTAGCTGGGCACCGGGGCACATGCATGTAGTCCTAGCTACTCAGGAAGCTGAGGTGGGAGGATCACTTGAGCCTGGGAGGTCAAAGCTACTGCAATGAGCTGTGATCATACCACTGCAGACCAGGCTGGGCAACAGAGTGAGATTCTGTCTTAATAAAAAATAAATAAATAAAAATAAAACTTAAAAAACAAGACACTGACCATTCTCAGAGATCAATCAGTATTGTATAAATTTATATCAGAAATAGTTTTTCAAGTGAAAGCAACTTTTGAACCACTACTATATGCCAGGGACTGTATTTAGATGCATTATGAATTTCATTTAAAGATTTTATTTTGAACATTTTTTGTATTCTCTAGAAATTAAATATGTGCCTGACAGACCTGGACAGAAGGGAAAGAGATGAGGAAGAATACTGTTCAGGATAAATTAATTACTCTCTCTGAATTAGAAAGCTGAGATAACCATAGAAGTAAGTGTTTAATGCCCACAATATGCATGCCTAGTTGCACTGCAATCTAAACAGAGTAAGGGCCAGGAGTGGTGGCTCACACCTATAATCCCAGCACTTTGGGAGGCTGAGGCGTGAATACCCAAGCCGAGGAAGCCAAGGCTACAGTGAGCTGTGTTCACACCACAGCATTCCAGCCTGGGCGATAGACAGCAAGACAAAACGTACACAGTAAGACATTTCTCTATTCAAGGAACACAATTTGGGAGAAAGAAAACTTGCAAAAATAATTTTTGAGAACTTGGCTCAGATTGCAAAAAATGTATTTCTAATGAGTATACAGAAGTATAGAAGGAAAAACATTCTGAAAAGCCAGAAGATTTACAATCCAGGTGCTGGCAAAATAAAAATATTTTAAAAAAAGAAAAAAACCCAGAAGGTAAGACACTATTATAGCCTCCATCAGGTCACAAACTAACTTAGGGTGGGTCGGGGTATGTGATGAGGGTGGAAACGACATGCAGAGGACATAAACATGTGACAGAAAACAAGGGAAAACAGAGGCATACAACTTTGTTAGAACAGTGACTTTAAGAATGATGAAAATGTTCTTAACTGGATTATGGTGACAGTTACACAGCTTTAAATTTGCTTAAAAAAAAAATCACTGACTTCAGAGTAAATCTTTTTATACCTCACTAAAACTGTTTAATGTTTTTTTTCTTTTTTTTTTTTTTTGAGACGGAGTTTCGCTCTTGTTACCCAGGCTGGAATGCAATGGCGCGATCTCGGCTCACCGCAACCTCCACCTCCTGGGTTCAGGTAATTCTCCTGTCTCAGCCTCCTGAGTAGCTGGGATTACAGGCACGCACCGCCATGCCCAGCTAACTTTTTGTATTTTTAGTAGAGACGGGGTTTCACCTTGTTGACCAGGATGGTCTCGATCTCTTGACCTCGTGATCCACCAGCCTCAGACTCCCAAAGTGCTGGGATTACAGGCTTGAGCCACCGCGCCCGGCCTTTTTTTCTTAAAGACGAGGTTTCACCATGTTGTGCAGGCTGGTCGTGAACTCCTGACCTCAGGTGACCCACCCACTTTGGCCTCCAAAGTGCTTGGATTACAGGCGTGAGCCACCACGCCTGGCCAAAACTGTTTAAGTCAACTTTAAGAATGTGAGATTTGATCATAATTTGATACAGCAAGTTCAAAATCATACAGATGAGAGATAGTTTACAAATAGGGTTTATCTTCAACTGATTACCTTGTTATAAAGGATGTTTAAAAGCATTCAGCTTATATCAACATTATAGTCAAAAAAAGGTGTATGACATGAACATAGCTTTAGCCATACTTAAAGAGAGTATTTCTGGCTGGGCACAGTAGCCTCCATCTGTAATCCCAGCACTTTGGGAGGCCGTGGTGGAAGGACTACTTAAGCCCAGTAGTTCAAGACCAGCCTGGGCAACACAGGAAGACCCCATATCTACAAAAAATTTTTTTAAAATTAGCTGGATATGGTGGCACACACCTGTGGTTCCAGCTACTCAGGAGGCTGAGGGAGGAAGACTGCTTGAGCCTGGGAGATTGAGGCTGCAGTGAGCTGTGTTAGCACTACTACACTCCAGCCTAGGTGACCGAGTGAGACCCTCTCTCAAAAAACAAAGTTATTTCCACAGTTAAAAAAAATAATTCCAGGCCGGGCGCAGTGGCTCAAGCCTGTAATCCCAGCACATTGGGAGGCCGAGGTGGGTGGATCACGAGGTCAAGAGATTGAGACCATCCTGGTCAACATGGTGAAACCCCGTCTCTACTAAAAATACAAAAAATTAGCTGGGTATGGTGGTGCGTGCCTGTAATCCCAGCTACTCAGGAGGCTGAGGCAGGAGAATTGCCTGAACCCGGGAGGCAGAGGTTGCAGTGAGCCGAGATGGCGCCATTGCACTCCAGCCTGAATAACAAGAGCGAAACTCCCATCTCAAAAAAAAATTCCAAAAGGAAGTAGAGGGGGAAAAATATAAAACACTCATCAAATGATCTTTTGTTTAACCACTCATTGAGTTATTACGAATGCTATTTCTTCCAATGTATAACTTTATTCATCTTTTAAAAAGTTCTAGATAATTCATCCAAAAAATATTCACTAGGTCTTTTTGCACTGTTCTAGGTACTAAGAGACGGTGAGTAGCAAATAAGTTCCTGAACACTTAGCGCTTATGCTCCAGAAAGGGATCTATACAAGTTTGCAGGCAGTAAATAAAGACATGTCAGGTGACTTTAAAAACAAAACAAAACAAAACAAAAAACATCTATTACCAGGCATGGTGACTCATGCCTGTAATCCCAGCACTTTGGTAGGCTGAGATGGGTAGATCACTTGAGATCAAGAGTTCAAGACTAGCCTGGCCAACATGGTGAAATCCTGTCTCTACTAAAAATACAAAAAAAATAAACTTAGCAGGGTGTGGTGGTAAGTGCCCTGTAATCCCAACTACTAGGAAAGCTGAAGCAGGAAAATCACCTGAACCTGGGAGGAGGAGGTTGCAGTGAGCCCAGAACGTGCCACTGCACTCCAGCCTGGACAACAGAGCAAAACTTCATCTCAAAAAAATTTTTTTAAATGTATTATGTAGGGTGAAGAAAGAGAAGAGAGAGGTAGTATTTATACAGAATAAGCAGGAAGGCTTTTCTGATAGTATGTCACTGAAGCAAAGCTGAAAGAAGAAAAAAGGGAACAAGTGAACCAGCCATCTCAGAGAAGAGTGCTTCAGGCTGAGGGAACACAGATGCAAATGCCCTGAGGTGGGAGAAAGACCAGTGTGGCTGAAATGAAGTGAGCAAAAGGGAGTAACATCAGGGTCTTAAAGGGAAGATGACCAGGTAACTTTATCATTCAAACCAGAAGGCTCTGAATAAGTTAATGAGTGTATTGAGAAGCTATTAATACATATTCTGAGATGAAAGACATAAACCAGAACTATCCCAGGGCACTTTGGGCTATACCAAGCTTGTCCAACCTGTAGCCTGCAAGCTGCATGCTGCCCAGGACAGCTTTGAATGTTGAATGTGGCCCAACACAAATTTGTAAACTTTCTCAAAATATTATGAGATTTTTTTTTTTTTTTTTTTTTTTTTGAGACGGAGTTTCGCTCTTGTTACCCAGGCTGGAGTGCAATGGCACGATCTCGGCTCACTGCAACCTCCGCCTCCTGGGTTCAGGCAATTCTCCTGCCTCAGCCTCCTGAGTAGCTGGGATTATAGGCACGCGCCACCATGCCCAGCTAATTTTTTGTATTTTTAGTAGAGACGGGGTTTCACCATGTTGACCAGGTTGGTCTCGATCTCTCGACCTCGTGATCCACCCGCCTCGGCCTCCCAAAGTGCTGGGATTACAGGCTTGAGCCACCGCGCCCGGCCAAGAGATTTTTTTTTTTTTTGCCATTTTTTTCCCAGCTGATCAGTTATCATTAGTGTATCTGATGTGTGGCTTAGGGAAGCCAAAAGATTTGACACCCCTGGGCTACCCTGTCACCCTATGTAAAACCTATGGTAAAGATGTTACTTCCTCTTATGAATGAGATGAAAAACCTCTGCAAAGTCTGAACAGAGGGCTGACGTAACGTATTTCATCTTTTAAAGGGCTTGTTCTGGCTGATGTGTGAAAAACAGAATGAGGTGAAAAGGGGGAGTAGGCGAGCACAGAGCAGTAAGGAGCCTGGTTACAAGGCAAACGCAGTATCTAGGTAACAGGACTAGAGGAGCAGAAATTAAATTTCTGGCCCAAATATCTAAAAATGTTCTATGTGCAATACTTTGTGTCCAACAAAGGGACCAGCTTATATTAAACAAATAGTAAACAAGAATAGTATCATAGTTTAATATTTCTACTTCTCATCTTGGATCACAGAAATTCACCATTATTGGTGAACATAAATTAGCTGACACAACTGGTCCCCCTTATTAATGTTCTTTAGTTTTTAGTGTTTTAGGCAGAAATACCATTGAAAAATGCAGCTAACAACACCATAAGGTTTTTCTTTCTTCTTCTTTTTTTTTTTTTTTTGAGACAGAGTCTGTCTATCACCCAGGCTGGAATGCAGTGGCACAGTCTCTGCAACCTCTACCTCCCGAGATCAAGTGCATCTTACACTTGAACCTCCCAAGCCTCCCAAGTACCTGGATTACAGGCACCCATCACCACATCTGGCTAATTTTTGTTATTTTTAGCAGAGATGAAGTTTTGCCATGTCAGCCAGGCTGGTCTTCAACTCCTGACTTCAGGTGATCTGCCTGCCTCAGCCTCCCAAAGTGCTGGGATTACAAGTGTGAGGCACTGCACTCAGCCAGGTTTTTCTTTTATAACAACAAATTCTCTACTTTTTAGGGAAAACTTCTTGGGAAATAGTTTCTAGAGCTGAGTACTCAGAAGGTTTCAAAAAGAAGATGTGATCTGAACAAGAGGAAGGGTAGAATTTAGAAAAGACTGAGAAAGAGCATTCTAGGTGGGAATGGATCCATAAAGAAAAGTTCAATGATTAGAATTAGAATGGCAAGCAAAGAACTGAGAAAGAATGAAGTACAACATATTTCCCTGCCTTTCTCAGACAAAAAATGTATCACAAACTAGCAAAAACTATAAAGAAAGGTTTCAAACCCCAAATTTTAAAGCTGAAAGTCAAAAAAAGTATTATGTTGCTATTCAAGGCTGCAAATGCCTCTGAAAGCTTTCTCGGATCACTGTTCAAAGGAATGAGCAATAAACTCACATAAAGTAAAGACTGGAAGATATACTAAACATTTTGGTTTTGCTTATCCCACAGTGGATCTATCAAAATTTTATCCAACCATAACCTACTTGTATTTTCAATAGGTACAACCTCTTAGAAAGTTATTTCCTAGGGGCTGTGCACGGTGGCTCAAGCCTGTAATCCCAGCACTTTGGGAGGCCGAGGTGGGTGGATCACGAGGTCAAGAGATCGAGACCATCCTGGTCAAAATGGTGAAACCCCGTCTCTACTAAAATTACAAAAAAATTAGCTGGGCATGGTGGCACGTGCCTGTATCCCAGCTGCTCAGGAGGCTGAGGCAGGAGAATTGCCTGAACCCGGGAGGCGGAGGTTGCAGTGGGCCAAGATCGTGCCATTGCACTCCAGCCTGGGTAACAAGATCGAAACTCTTGTCTCAAAAAGAAAAACTTAATCCTTTTACATATGTACTTTGAGCATCTAACGATTTCAGACTATATGTACATATATTTTTTGAGACAGAGTCTCGCTCTGTCACCCAGGCTGGAGTGTAGTTGCACAATCTTGGCTCACTGCAACCTCTGCCTCCCGGGTTCAAGCAATTCTCCAGCCTCAGCATCCCGAGCAGCTGGGATTACAACTGTGCACCACCAAGCCCGGACAAAAAAGAAAAATTTTTAAAGACCATTTAATCTATAAAAACTACCTCTGAAAAAGACATCTTCACTACTTGTATGTGTCTTATGTAATACACCTACCTTTTCGGATTCTTGCTGTGAGATCGGGACCTAAAAAAAGAATATGTAGTTTTAGAAAAGTGGCTATAAGAAAACAGTGCAATGTTACATTATATTCTTCCTGATTTCTAATGTTCATATTAATCTTAGAAATATAAGGCATGTACCTATGCACACAAAATTTTCCAAAATACATCACAAACTGTACAGATTTCTCAGCCTTGCCAAGGTTCGCTTAACTCAAGAATACCTGGCTCTTAAAGAGTATGCTCCTAGGAGATTAAAACACAGTACAGGTTGAGTGCTTCTTCTCTGAAACGCTAAGAATCAGAAATGTTTAGGATTTTTTCTTTCTTCTGTATTTTTTCAAGTTTTTTGAAAGTTTTTTGTTGCCCGGGTGGTCTTGAGCTCCTAGACAAAAATGATCCTACCATGTTGGCCTTCCAAAGTGCTGGGATTACAGGCACCCGATTTTTTTTGTTCAAACTTTGAAGTGTCTGCATTATAATTTATTGGTTCAGCATCTCTAAATCCAAACACTGAAATCTGAAATGCTTTAATAAGCATCTCCTTTAAACACTGTCAGCACTCCAGAAGTTTCAGATTTTGAAACTCACTGGATTTGATTTTTTGGATTTGGGATGCTCAACCTATATATTACAACTTGCTATTCAGAAACCACTTAATAGCTTGGAAAAAATTCTTTTACATCTCTGTCATTTCTTTTTTCCCTTCAGGGAACAGAGTAAAATTTCTATGGTCTGAGATCTACATATTTTTGGAGCTACAACATCATACTATAATCTCTAGAACACCTAGTTCAATCTTACAATGTGTTTCTTCAAATGAGATACTCTACATAAGGCATTTGTCACATTTCCTAGCACACAGTTAATGCTCAATAAAACGTAAATATTGGGCCGGGCGCGGTGGCTCATGCCTGTAATCCCAGCACTTTGGGAGGCCAAGGCAGGTGGATCATGAGGTCAAGAGATCGAGACCATCCTGGTCAACATGGTGAAACCCCGTCTCTACTAAATATACAAAAAGTCAGCTGGGCATGGTGGCGTGTGCCTGTAATCCCAGCTACTCAGGAAGCTGAGGCAGGAGAATTGCCTGAACCCAGGAGGTGGAGGTTGCGGTGAGCCGAGATCATGCCATTGCACTCCAGCCTGGGTAAGTAACAAGAGCGAAACTCCATCTCAAAAATAAAAATAAATAAAAAAATTTTTTAAAAAAAGGAAATATTATGGTGAGTAGGTCACCACAGGGATTTTTTTTTTTTTTTTTTTTTTGGGATGATACATACCATAGTTCAAAGCATGGCTTTGAGATCTGCCAGATTTCAATTTTATTTTGTGGTTCTATCATTCACTGTCTGTGTGACCTGATTAAGTTATATATCATCCCTCAGCTTAGTCTGTCACTAGTAAAAGAGGGACAGTAATATAAATTTTACTGGGCTGGGGCTTATAAAGATTACACAAATACGGACAAATTCCTGACTAGTACCTGGCATAAAATAAGCATCCAGTAAATGATGATTCTTTTCTTTTATCCCATCTTGTATAATTTTATACTAGGTTCTAATTTCATCATCTTCCATACTTCCATATTTCCATATTTAAGCTCGTAGAATCAACAACCTTTTTTTTTTTTTTTTTTTTTTTTAAACATTTCTGAAACAGGGTTACATTGTATAACCACTGTCAAAAGAAACTTGCCATTCGGCAAACAAAGGAGTAAGATGTGATATACTTTTTCATCATCTACAAATGTGAAAATGTAGTCCTGCAAAGATATTTTGGTCCATGTTACCGTCACCTCAGTTGAATCTTAAAATGAGATTCTCACTATTACTTAAAATTCCATTTATATATCAGAATACTGGGCAATATTTCCATAAGGACTTACTGTACAGAAAAGAACAAGCAGATGAAAGCTCTGAGGTAAGCTTTATGGTAAATGAAGAACTCTCTCTCTCTCTCTCTCTCTCTCTCTCTCTCTCTCAACAGAGGACTGACATCACTTCCCCTAAAAAGGGACCATATACACATGTGGTTTTTTTTTTTCACTTTGTCATTATGGTACAAGAAGATTACCTGGTTATAAGCCATGTAACACAAATGAAGTCTGCTTGAACTTCTTGAAATATACTGAATACAATATGCTCAAAGACTGGAGGAAGTGAGCATAAAACCTAATATTACAAAGGGTTTTAATTAGCTTAAGCACATCTGATAACTCTAAAGAGAAGGTATTTAAATTTCAGACACGTAATATGATTCAGGGAAAACTATAAATTAGGACTACAGGCAAATCCTTTGTGATACAACTGTCCATCCTAAAGCTGGTAAAGAAGTTATAAAGATGAATTACAAAAAAATGTTGCCACCATGAAGCTATGTGATTTTAGTTGCCAATGGGTAAAAGTGACTCAAAAGAATGTTTGGACATTCCAAATACTAAGAATTATAAGATTTTATCAATTAATGAATACCAATGTAAGCAAAATTAATATACAATTATGTATTATTACTAGACTTTTTAATAGTTCATAGCTCCCAGAATTGAGAAAATTAAAAAAAAAAAAAATCCCTTCAATGAAACAATCCCCCCTCAAACCTGTTATTAACAAAATACATCATAAAAACAGAAGTAATTCTATGCTAACCTGGTACAAGTCTAGACCAACATGAAAAATCAAAGGAGTAGAAAAAGATTGTTATATATCTTACAAGATATGAAGCATTCTTTATGCACTCTTCCACAGATTTTTAGAAGAAATCACATTCAGTTAAATGGCCAAGAGTTAAGATATTTGTATAATTAAGTATTTACATAATTTGCACAGCAATATTTTTTTAAAGTAAGCAGAAGTTTCCCACTCCCATAACAGATTTAATACCATCTAAAATTTAAAATCAATGATCTCTTTTTAGAACCACAGAGATTCAACTTCAATTACTTGGCCCATTACTCCATACCTCCTCAGCTTCTCTCGCTCTTCTCTCTCCCTTTCTTCTCTTCGTTTCAGCCGTTCCTGGTTTCTTTTCTCCTGCTTCTCAGCTACAACTCTCTTAAAAATGACAATAATAAACGAGGAGCATATTTACTAAGTCCATTCTTAATCAACTTAATCCTAAAATTTACATTATCTGGTTTCTTATAGTACAATTACCATCAAAATCTATTTAATAATTCAATTTGAAGTACTGCCAGATATAATCATTAGGCTTATAAGTTGCTTTTCAAAAAATCTTTCCCCATTTTGTGGAAAATGTGCAAAATTTCACATTTTTCCATGATTTCTACTTGTGTTTTTAAAATTTTTTAATCAAAACAAATTATTTTAAAATAGAGACAGAATCAGCCGGGCGCGGTGGTTCAAGCCTGTAATCCCAGCACTTTGGGAGGCTGAGGCGGGTGGATCACGAGGTCGAGAGATTGAGACCATCCTGGTCAACAAGGTGAAACCCCGTCTCTACTAAAAATACAAAAAATTAGCTGGGCATGGTGGCACGTGCCTGTAATCCCAGCTACTCCGGAGGCTGAGGCAGGAGAATTGCCTGAACCCAGGAGGCGGAGGTTGCGGTGAGCCGAGATCGCGCCATTGCACTCCAGCCTGGGTAACAAGAGTGAAACTCCGTCTCAAAAAAAAAAAAAAAAAAAAAAAAAATAGAGACAGAATCTCGCTATGTTGCCCAAATAACAAGTTGGTCTCCAAGTCCTGGGCTCAAGAGATCATCCTACTGCGGCCTCCTAAAGTGCTAGAATTACAGGTATGAGCCACTCAGACAGACCTCTCTATACTTTTATTGTTTTTTTAAAGACATAGTCTCACTCTGTCGCCCAGACTGGAGTGCAGTAGCACCATCTCAGCTCACTGCAACCTCCACCTGCCAGGTTCAAACGATTCTCATGCCTCAGCCCTCAGAGGAGCTGGGATTACAGACGTGCATCACCACACCCAGCTAAGTTTTGTATTAATATTTTTTTAGTGGAGACAGGGTTTCACAATGTTGCCCAGACTGGTCTCAAACTCTTGACCTCAAGTGATCTGACCTCCTTGGCCTCCCAAAGTGCCAGGATTACAGGCATGAACCGCCATGTCCAGCTCCACAATTTCTCCGTTTTGTTTTATTTATTTATTTTTCCCCCATGATTTCTTTTTTTTTTTTTTTTTTGGAGACAGAGTTTCGCTCTTGTTACCCAGGCTGGAGTGCAATGGCGCGATCTTGGCTCACCGCAACCTCCGCCTACTGGGTTCAGGCAATTCTCCTGCCTCGGCCTCCTGAGTAGCTGGGATTACAGGCACGCGCCACCATGCCCAGCTAATTTTTTGTATTTTTAGTAGAGACGGGGTTTCACCATGTTGACCAGGATGGTCTTGATACTTTGACCTCGTGATCCACCTGCCTCAGCCTCCCAAAGTGCTGGGATGACAGGCTTGAGCCACCGCGTCCGGCCTCTCCCATGATTTCTTAATGACATTTCCAAGTCACTTCTACAAGATTTTCCTCCTCTGTTTTCCAGTATTATGTTGTTTTTCTTTTTTTTAATCAACCATTATAAATCACTACAAGTTCCCATGCCCTGTGATTTCTAATATGGAAATGTCTTAGGTTACTTCCAATTACCATCCTGATGCTGCTGCTTTTAAAGATATTAATAAAATGCTAGAGTTCTGGGCCGGGCGCGGTGGCTCACGCCTGTCATCCCAGCACTTTGGGAGGCCGAGGTGGGAGGATCACAAGGTCAAGAGATCGAGACCATCCTGGTCAATATGGTGAAACCCCGTCTCTACTAAAAATACAAAAAAAAGTAGCTGGGCATGGTGGCACATGCCTGTAATCCGAGCTACTCAGGAGGCTGAGGCAGGAGAATTGCCTGAACCCAGGAGGCGGAGGTTGCGGTGAGCCGAGATCGCGCCATTGCACTCCAGCCTGGGTAACAAGAGCGAAACTCCGTCTCAAAAAAAAAAAAGTGCTAGAGTTCTGTTGCTAGGTCTATACATGCAAAGACTTCCAAGCAGGAACCACTGGAGCTTTAACTTGGAGCCCAATAACTATTTGCTATAGTGATCATTTCAACAAGTTTTAAAAAATTACTTGAGATCACCCTAGCTACCCAGAATACTACAAAGAGCCCATTGTTACCTGTGAATATGGAGATGTCCCTAGGCATTTTCTGATTCTACGTTATTTTAAATGCTATGGACCTTGAGTTAATTCCAGTGATAATGGTTACAGAGAAAATGACTATCCCATGTTTCCCATCAGCCAGTCCTCAATTCATGAAAAAACACTATGGTGCCACAATTCTTTAAAATCTATCAGCATATTAAAAAAGGTAAATAGATTATATCCACCAACACTCATCTTTACCACTTCAGAAATATCATCATGATTTTTTGTATTTATCCCCTCTAAATAACTTAAGACTAAAAACTGTTGGCTTCCTCACAGAAGCCGACATATTTAATAGTAATTGTCCTTTTAAAAAATATATAGATGTTTTTTGGCCAAGGGTGGTGGCCGACGCCTATAATCCCAGCACTTTGGGAGATCAAGGCAGGAAGATCACAAGTTCAGGAGTTTGAGACCAGCCTGGCCAATAGGATAAAGCCCCATCTCTACTAAAAATACAAAAATTAGCCAGGCATGTGCCTGTAATCCTAGCTACTTAGGAAGCTGAGGCAGGGGAACTGCTTTAACCCAGGAGGTGGAGTTTGCAGTGAGCCGAGACTGCACCGCTGCACTCCAGCCTGGGCGACAGAGAGAGACTCTGACTCAAAAAAAAGAAAAAAAAATTACATTATTGACCTTATTGGAAAGAATGATAACAATGAAATTTTACAGGACTCTGTATTAGAAACTAGTTTGAAAGATTCCTCAGTGTCACAGCTAACATAAAATAGTAACTCCCAAAATAACAGGATAGTATTTAAAAGTTTGCTCCTCAGACAGCATCCATTAAACCAACTTGAATTTCATCTATAATCCTACACTGTTTAGTATTAATTATTAGATACTATATATTACTGAATGACAGTCAAGAATATTAAACAAAAAGACAATACAGATCAAAAGAACAAGAGGGTAAGGAGGATAAAGTGAGGACTATTTTACCAATATACCTTTAATTCTTCAAGCTTCTCTCTTATTTCAATAAATCCCAGGTGCAGTTTACCCCCAAAATGATCAGCCAGTCTTCTGTCATTATCATGAAGTCCTAAATAGGCTGAGCAGACTTCACAGACTCGAAGTTTCTGCTGTTGAAAACTCGAAGCTGGCATAGAATTCCGATAAACTTCCTAAACAAAAGTGAGAAAAAAGTGACCATATAAATCTCACTAAAAGTCATACAGTTAAATAAAATATACTATCCTTATACCAAAAGCGTTTTCTAAAGAATACACAAAAGCAGCCGGGCACTGTGGCTCATGCCTGTAATCCCAGCACTTTGGGAGGCTGAGGCAGGAGGATCACATGAAGTCAGGAGTTCAAGACCAGCCTGGACAACATGGTGAAACCCCATCTCTACTAAAGACATAAAAAATTGCACGGGCATGATGGTGCATGCCTGTAATCCCAGCTACTTGGGAGGCTGAGGCAGCAGAATCGCTTGAACCTGGGAGGTGGAGGTTTCAGTGACATGAGATGATGCCATTGAACTCCAGCCTGGGTTTCAAAAAAAAAAAAAAAAGGAATACACAAAAGCACGTATCCCCATCCTGTGTCCTTAGGACCTCTCTCCACTGAAGTATAAGGAAAGAAATAATAAACATAAACAGAAATCAATGAAACAGAAAACAAGAAAAAATACAAAATCAGAAGACTGGTTCCTTGAAAAGAAAAATAAAACTGGGCGGGGCGTGGTGGCTCAAGCCTGTAATCCCAGCACTTTGGGAGGCCGAGGTAGGTGGATCACGAGGTCAAGAGATCGAGACCATACTGGTCAACATAGTGAAACCCCGTCTCTACTAAAAAGACAAAAAATTAGCTGGGCATGGTGGCACGTGCCTGTAATCCCAGCTACTCAGGAGGCTGAGGCAGGAGAATTGCCTGAACCCAGGAGGCGGAGGTTGCGGTGAGCCGAGATCACGCCATTGTACTCCAGCCTGCCTGGGTAACAAGAGCGAAACTCCGTCTCATTAAAAAAGAAAAGTAAAACTGACCAGCCAGATCAATCAAAAAAGGAGAAGTCACCAATTGCAAACAGATTCTACAGATATAAAAAGAGAACACTGTAAGCAACTTTATAGCAATAAATACAACTTTAATTTTGTGAAAGACAAATTTCCAAAAGTTATTTAAAAATAGAAAAAAAAAAAAACAAGCCAGTCACAGTGACTCACGTCTGCAATCCCAGCCCTCTGGGAGGCTGAGGCCAGCAGATCACCTGAGGTCAGGAGTTCAAGACCAGCCTGGCCAACAACATGACAAAACCCTGTCTCTACTAAAAATACAAAAAATTAGGCAATCGTGGTGGCGGGTGCCTATAGTCCCAGCTACTGGGTAGGCTGAGGGAGGAGAATCGCTTGAACTGGGAAGCAGAGGTTTCAGTGAGCTGAGACTGTGCCACTGCACTCCAGCCTTAGAAACAGAGTGAGACTCTATCTCAAAAACAAACCAAAAACAGAGCATCTCTTATTACTAACGAATTTTTTTCTTTTGAGACGGAATTTCACTCATTGACCAGGCTAGAGTGCAATGGTGCGATCTTGGCTCACTGCAATCCCCTACCTCCTGGGTTCAAGCGATTCTCCTGCCTCATCCTCCCGAGCGGCTAGGATTACAGGCACCCACCACCATGCCTGGCTAACTTTTTATTTTTATTAGAGATGGGGTTTCACCATGTTGGCCAGGCTAGTCCTGAACTCCCGACCTCAGGAGATCCACCCACCCCAGCCTCCCAAAGTGCTAGGATTACAGGCATGAGCCACCCTACCTGGCCAAGAATTTAACTCTTAAGTAACATAACTTCCCACAAGGAAACCCCAGTTCTAAGTGGCTTGACTGGTGAATTCTATCAAAGACTTAAAGGAAGAAATGATGCCAATTCTAGAAAAAGACTTTCAGAAGAGATAAAATATTTCCCAACTCATTTTCTGGATTGGCATTACCCTGATACCAAACCAAAGGCAAAGTCATTATGTAAGTTAAGTTATTAAAAATAACTGGGGAGGAAGATACTCTCTCATTAACAGGTTTTCCTTCCACTCTCTCGTTTCTGTGAAAAACATCTAATATGTTAGGTCCTTCCTCTTTCTTCAAAAGAAGAGAATAGTCCATTGACTGTAATATTTTCTTGATGTCTCAGGGCCATCATTATCGCACTGTTACTGTACCGGTCCTGTGAGAAACAATGGTAGTATTTCCTTTCTTTCTCCCTCCTCTTAATTCTTGCCATCCTTCTCTGCTGAAAATCAACACTAATGTGAAGGCAGTGTAATGGTAAGATGCTGGAGGAGGTACTACAATGGCTTGCCTCTATCATACCTTTCCCCTCTAGTCTGGGAAACAGTAGCTAATACCACAAGATAAAGAAAGAAGGCTGGACTTGAACTGGACTCAAGCAATCCACTTCAGCCTGCCTAGTAGTTGGGATCACAGGCACACACCATCACAACCAGCTTTTTCCATGTTTTTTCTTTTAGTTCAAATTCTCTTTAATAACTGTCCAATAATTTCTATTTAAATACATGTTCTTAAAGAAGCACAGATACTAAAGTTTTATCTACTACTTTTTTTAGTCTTGACAAATTAAGCAGAATTAATCTACTACTAGTAAGAATTTACCTCTGCTTCTCTTTTCTTTGCCCGCGCTTTCTCCACTTCATCCATTACTTTCTGGGATTCCTCCACATTCCCTTCAGCTCCGAGTTGTTCCACCTTGGCTAACAATTTACCAATTTCTTCATTTAACTCATGAACACGTTCTGCCTAGAAAGAAAGAAAAAAGAAGAGCATGAATAAACAAGAGAATGAATTTTTAACTTCAAAGTATTTCAGAACTGCTGAGAAAAAACTTTTTATCTGAAGCCATATGAGTTTAAAAAATGCTTCTTGTGCATATCCCAAATGACCTATTGAGACATCAGGATGTTCTGGGCCTGCCTGCCTTACCTCAATAAAGTCAGGGCTACTACTGGTCCCAATATAACTTTCTGTCCTCTGGTTAGGTAGTATATTACTAGTGTAAAATACCTTTTCTTCCATGATCTGGCCCTCTGTACTTTTCTAAACCATCTCTTGCTACACACACCCCCACCTCACAACATAATCTATAGTTTTCCTAAACTTACCCTATTGTTTTGCACCTCTGTGACTTTACATATACCCTTCTTTCTGAGATGGGATCATTCACCTCTCCTAGCTACCTAGTGAATGTTCACTCATTCAACAAGATCCAACTCAAGGGCCATTTCTGTAAAGCATTCCTGAACATTCACCACATCCCAGCCCCACTTAAACACATAAGCAAAGATGGCCCTACCTTCTCCTTTGTGTCACCTTTGTATCATTTTTGACAATTCCTTTCATAAATATACTACCTTAAGGACAGCTATCTGTATTTCTCATATTTTTATCTCTAGTGCTCAGCAAAGAGCCTAGGCTCAAATATGAATTAAAGAAATGAATTGGTGGATCAACCTCAGGAGTCCAACAGTCTGACTTATTACTAAACCAATTACTGTCTATGTAATTTTGGCTATATTACTTATACCTGAATCCATTTCCTCACCTGACAAGTACAGACATTACCTATCCCACAAAGCTGTGAGAAATGAGAAAATATGCCTACTATGTACACTGCATACACCTTGCTGATTTTCAGCTACCAGCATGGCAACTCCACTCTATTTGTCTTTAGCTTTCCACCGGGATTAACTCCTCCCTTGGGAAAGAATACATTCCTCTTCCTCCTCATCATCATCCTAGCAACTTAATTCATTCTTACTGTTGTAATGGCAAATGAAACATACACATAATTATTATTTTGGCCACAAAGTCTTTGCTGTGTGGCTAATTATATGTTAGCAAAGAAGGTTTCATTTTTTCTCGTTATTGTTGTTTTTGAGATGGAGTCTAGCTCTGTTGCCCAGGCTAGAGTGCAGTGGCACAATTTCAGTTCACTACAACCTTCACCTCCTAGGTTCAAGGGACTCTCCTGCCTCAGCCTCCCCAGGAGCTGGGATTACAGGGGTACACCACCATGCCCGGCTAATTTTGCAGTTTTAGCAGAGACAGGATTTCACCATGTTGGCCAGGCTGGTCTCGAACTCCTGACCTCGTGATCTGCCCGCCTTGACCTCCCAAAGTGCTGGGATTACAGGTATAAATAAGCCACTGAGCCCAGTTGAAGATTTTGGTTTGGTATGGGTATCCAGTCCCAACAAACCAGTTTACTGGTTTAATTAATAATCTTTACCTCTCAAGTCTCCTTCAACCCAAGATATTTCTTTCCTCAATGAGATTTATAACTCTATTATCACCATCCTCCTATCATTGAATAACTACACTGTTGTCCAAAACTCTTCATCCCTGTATCCATGCCCTTGACCATGTAATTGTGTACATCACACTCTGAATCTGAATTTGGCTATGAACTTGATTTGGCTACTGCGGTGGCAGCAAACATGACCAAGAGAGAGGCCTATGTGATGCGGCTTGATGCTTCTGTACCTCTGCCACCACCATGAGAACATGGCCAGGCTAGCCTGCTGGGCATGGCTTTGCATCCTCCAGCTGACTGCAAGGCATGTGAGTAAGCCCAGCTGAGACAAGAATAACGCTCAGTAAAGTTCAGCCTAAATCATGGACTGCAGAGTCATAGGCTAAATAAATATTTACTGTTTTAAGTCACTGAGCTCTGAGGTGGTTATACAGCATTTGTGTAGTGATGGATAACCAATACAACCAATACAGCTTGGGCCTTAACAAGCACTTATGTATCTCTTCTAACCATGAAATACTAGATCCTTTGTACTTCAGGATGCCCATCTTACCAGTCCCCATCTTCAGAGAACTTTTCAGAAAAGGTTAACTAAAAGCAACCCTTTCTCAAAGAAATCTATTTTAATTTGTATTTACGTATCTGAACACCATATTTTAATACTATCATCTAAACTTCACCTGAGTAGTTCTTTTTCTCCCATTCTGCATTTTCATAAAACACACTAGGATTATACTGAATGAAATAGAATTACGTCATAAAGTAGTACATCAACGAAATGTAATATATAACACCTTGTTTGAATTCTGATAACAAACTGACTCTGTAAAAAAAATAAACTGGATACATTAGAAAATTACCGTAAACTTTATGTATGTGATACTGTGGTTATAATTTACAAGTAAAATATGACATTTAACACTAGCTTCTACAAGCAAATAAAAATACTGTGGTATATCTGTACAACGGAGAAATAAAAAGAACTACTGATACACAAAATTTGAATCAATCTCAAGGAAATTATATGGCATGAAAAAGGCCAGATCCCAAAAGCGTACATAGGATTTCATTTATGTAACACTCCTTGAAATAACAACTACAGAGAGAGAGAGAATAGATTAGCAATTACCAAGGGTAGAGATGCTGGGGTGAAGGATAGATGTAGCTATAAAAGGGGTAACATGAGGGGGTCTTGTGGCGATGTTATAATTAAGTTTCCTAACTGTGGTTGTAAACACATGTGTGATTAAACTGCAGAGAGCTGATCAGGCGTGATGGCTCAGGCCTGTAATCCCAGCACTTTGGGAGGCTTAGGTGGGTGGGTCACTTGACGCCAGAAGTTTGAGACCAGCCTGGCTAACATGGCGAAACCCTATTTCTGCTAAAACTACAAAAAGTTGGCTGGGAATGGTGATGCATGCCTATAAACCCAGCCACTCAGGAGGGCGAAGCACGAGAATTGCTTGAGCCCAGGAGGTGGAAACTGCAGCAAGCCAAGACTGCGCCACTGCACTCCAGCCTGGGTGACAAAAACAAAACTACACAGAGCTATATACAGACATGCATACACAAATAAATGCATGTATAACTAGCAAAATCTGAATAAAACATAAAGATTAGACGAATGTCAATTTCTTTGATATTGTATATTGTGTAAGACAGGCGTCCCCAAACTTTTTACACAGGGGGCCAGTTCACTGTCCCTCAGACCGTTGGAGGGCCTCCATATACTAAGCTCCTCTCACTGACCACCAGTGAAAGAGGTGTCCCTTCCTGAAGTGCGGCCGGGGGCCAAATAAATGGCCTCAGGGGGCCGCATGCGGGCCGTAGTTTGGGGACGCCTGGTGTAAGATGTTAATGTTAAGGCAGACAAGAGAAAGCATACAGAATTCCTTCTAATATGTCTTTGCAATCTCTTGCAAATCTAATTATTTCAAAATAAAAAGTTAAACAAAAGGAGTGAGTCAAAACAATACTTTGTACTAATGAAATGATTAAAATTCTTACCTTTGCTGCTACTTCAGCACTGATCTCTTCCTGGGTTTCTGCTAATCTTTTCTTGGCCACCTCTGTTCTACGATCACAATCTGCAATGAATGACTGCAGATGATCCATGGCCTACAAAGTTTAATTAAAGACAATTACTGTCAGAAAGTCAGCTTTATTCAGAAATATCCTCACACAAAAATTACACTTTGTTTTTAAAATGTTACCATGCTGGGGCATGGTAGCTCACATCAGTAATCCGGGCATTTTAGCATGCCAGGGCAAGCAGATCACTTGAGGCCAGGAGCTCAAGGCCAGCCTGGCCAACCTGGCGAAACCCTGCCTCTACTGAAAATACAAAATTTAGCCGGGTGGGTGGCGCAGACCTGTAGTCTCAGCTACCTACTCAATAGGCTGAGGCAGAAGGAACACTTCAGCCCAAGGAGGCTGAGGCTGCAGTGAGCCCTGATGGTGCCATTACACTCCAGTCTGGATGACAGAGTGAGACCCTGTCATTAAAAAAAAAAAAACAGCTGGGTACAATGGGTCATGCCTGTAATTCCAGCACTTTAGGAGGCCGAAGTGGGCAGATCACCTGAAGTCGGGAGTTAGAGAACACCCTAGCCAACATGGTGAAACCCCATCTCTACTAAAAATACAAGAACTAGCCAGGCGTGGTGGTTCACACCTGTAATCCCAGCTACTTGGGAGGCTGAGGCAGGAGAATTGCTTGAATTTAGGAGGTGGAGGTTGCAGTTAGCCGAGATCATGCCACTGCATTCCAGCCTGGGCAACAGAATGACATTCTGTCTCAAAAAAAAAAAAAAAAAAACTTGAGTACATGGAGAAATGTTCAGGATTCATTTGTAAATAAAAAGCAAATTGTTAGGAAATAAGATCTCAATTTTGTAAAAGACAGAAAAATCTGCAAATCTAGATCTGAATGGACAAACAGAAAATAAAGACAGAAAAAAATGGAAAACTACAAAATGCTAACAGTAAGTATTTCGGAACATTTTACTTTTTTTTCTTTAAATTCTCCATGCTGCTTTAGAATTTTCTTTTCTTTTTTGAGACGAGTCTTGCTCTGTGACCCAGGCTGGAGTGCAGTGGCACAATCTCAGCTCACTGCAACCTCCGCCTCTTAGGGCAAGTGATTCTCCTGCCTCAACCTCCCAAGTAACGGGGATTACAGGCACCCACCACCACGCCCAGCTAAATTTTTGTATTTTTAGTAGAGATGAGGTTTTACCATGTTGGCCAGGCTGGTCTCGAACTCCAGACCTCAGGTGATCCACCCACCTTAGCCTCCCAAAGTGCTGGGATTACAGGCCTATGAGCTACTGCGCCCGGCTATATTTTGTTAAAGATTGATAAATCAGAGAATTTAAATATGAAAATACTCCACAAAGCCAAAAAAAATCCAAAAAAGTAGGGAAAATCTGTTGTAATTTCAGAAAACAACTGCATTTCATTAGCAGCAATTCTTGGATATTCAGAAGATATGGGGGCCTATTTATTGGTTTATCTCCTAAACCAAATTTAAGACATTATTTCACTAACAAAACGTACAAGATCTATGCACAGCAGTATGTTTTATGTAATGCCGACTGTTATACTTTATATATCTGCAAAAAATATTTCTCTATTTTTATGCAAACCATTTTCATGTAAAAGCAACAATATACAGTTACATTTCAGACTCTTTTAGGTATCTAAATGGTGTCTTCTATTTCTTAGTTTTTCTTTAAAAACACCATCCTTAATATCTCCCTAACACCCATAGGCACGTCCCTCAGTATCTTGGGAGACTTGTTCCAGGATACCCAGTAGATACCAAAATCCGCGAATGTTCCAGTTTTTTATCTAAAATGGTGCAGTATTTGCATATAATCTCCCATTATTACACATCCTCCTATATACTTTAAATTGTCTCCAGATTACTTATAATACTAATACAATGTAAATGCTATGTAAACAGTTATACTGTAATGTTTAGGGAATAGTAACAAGAACAAAATGTCTGTTCATGTCCAGTACAGATGAAACAATCCATTTCTTCTAAATATTTGCAATCCCCAGTTGGTTCCTTCCACAGATTCAATGACAGATATGTGTGTGTGGAGGGGTAGGGTCAACTTACACACACACACACATATATATATATATATATATATATATATATGGATAGATAGATATAAAATATATATATCTATAAATATATAGATATAAAAGTTCATATGAATGTAAAAACTCAATATATTACTAAAGGTAAGTCCCAGGCCGGGCGCGGTGGCTCAAGCCTGTAATCCCAGCACTTTGGGAGGCCAAGGCGGGTGGATCACGAGGTCAAGAGATCGAGACCATCCCGGTCAACATGGTGAAACCCCATCTCTACTAAAAATACAAAAAATCAGCTGGGCATGGTGGCGTGTGCCTGTAATCCCAGCTACTCAGGAGGCTGAGGCAGGAGAATTGCCTGAACCCAGGAGGCGGAGGTTGCGGTGAGCCGAGATCGCACCATTGCACTCCAGCCTGGGTAACAAGAGCGAAACTCCGTCTCAAAAAAAAAAAAAAAAAAAAAAAAGATAAGTTCTAATATAAACTAGAAATTAGTTGCTTACATTTGCTTGATATTTCCTTAATCGTTACTACTTTGTTGGGAAGAATATGCTTAATTTTCATAAGAATATATGAATCATTGCCTTCTACACATTTTCTTAAAATAGTCTCACCCCCCCCCACCCTTTTTTTTTTTTTTTTTTTTAATTTTAGAGACGAGGTTTCTCTGTGTTGGTCAGTCTGGACTTGAACTCCTGACCAGTGATCCGCCTGCCTGAGCCTCTCAAATTGCTGGGATTACAGGCGTGAGCCACCACACCCAACCTCACCTCATAGTTTTAAGAGTTGTCCGCCGGGCGCGGTGGCTCAAGCCTGTAATCCCAGCACTTTGGGAGGCCGAGGCGGGTGGATCACGACGAGGTCGAGAGATTGAGACCATCCTGGTCAACACGGTGAAACCCCGTCTCTACTAAAAATACCAAAAATTAGCTGGGCATGGTGGCACGTGCCTGTAATCCCAGCTACTCAGGAGGCTGAGGCAGGAGAATTGCCTGAACCCAGGAGGCAGAGGTTGTGGTGAGCCGAGATTGCGCCATTGCACTCCAGCCTGGGTAACAAGAGCGAAACTCCGTCTCAGAAAAAAAAAAAAAAAGAGTTGTCAAGAAAGTACAGGATCTTGGCCGGGCATGGTGGCTCACGCCTGTAATCCAAGCACTTTGGAAACCAAGGCGGGCAGATCATCTGAGGTCAGGAGTTCAAGACCAGCCTGACCAACATGGTTAAACCCCATCTTTAATAAATATATAAATAAATAAGAAAGTATATGATCTTACTTGAGTCTTACCCTTCATATAACCACAGAGGATAAACTGCTAAGTTTTTCCTATTAAGAGATATTAATCCATATTCCCAAATGTTTTACAGCAAAAGATAACAATAAACCATTAAGCAAAATCACATACATCAAGTTCGAAGAAAAAATCTTGTTCTTTGGATGCAATTTCATAATCTGCTCTTAATGCCAGGTCATGGACTTTCAGACATTCTCCAAGGTCCATTCTCTGGAAGAGAAAAAAAACATAACATTAAAACAAAAAACACTTTTTTTTTAAGTGCATCAACAACCACAGTTCTTTTTAGAATACACATTAAGTCATACAGATGCTTCTTTATGTAGGGGTTTCCAAATTACAAAATTTCATAGACAAATATAAAACATAGTGTCAGAAGAAAAAAGTGGCACCAATTCTGTCTACCAACAGATGGGAACAGGGATCACTTCTACTTAAGAATAAATGGATATGGAAAGGTTTTTCACAATCTGAAAAAAGCTTCTAGCTTCTATATCACAACATAGTTCATTTAGCTCTACAATACAAAAATGTTGAAGTTAATTTTAAACCAAACTAAAAGAATATATAAATCTAATTGTTGAGATGTCAATGTGCTTTGAAGAATGCTCTACTTTTCAAATAAAGATGGAGTCCGCAAGAAAGACTAGTGACTAGGCATGGTGGTTCATGCCTATAATCCCAGCACTTTGGAAGGCCAAGGCAGGAAGATAGCTTCAGCCCAGGAGTTTGGCACCAGCCTGGGCAACATACTAATACCTGTCTCATTTTTAAAAATAAATTTGGCCGGGCGTGGTGGCTCAAGCCTGTAATCCCAGCACTTTGGGAGGCCGAGGCGGGCAGATCACAAGGTCAAGAGATTGAGACCATCCTGGTCAACATGGTGAAACCCCGTCTCTACTAAAAATACAAAAAAGTAGCTGGGCATGGTGGCATATGCCTGTAATCCCAGCTACTCAGGAGGCTGAGGCAGGAGAATTGCCTGAACCCAGGAGGCGGAGGTTGTGGTGAGCCGAGATCGCGCCATTGCACTCCAGCCTGGGTAACAAGAGCGAAACTCCGTCTCAAAAAAAAAAATAAATAAATAAATTTAAAAAAACACACACAACAAAACAGGCTAGTGACTTTCATATAGTCTTTTCTGGGGATAAGACTCCGTGTGAACTAGTAAAGAGATGATTTACTAATAAGAACCAAAATAAGTACATAGAGAACAAGCATTTAACCCCACCTATGATAAGCATATATCACGGAAATAAATGCTTTTACTGAACCTAGGATTCTTCTACTTGGAAATTCCAATTAGGTATTATTTACCAAACCAGAGGCTTTTCTCATATCTGAGAAACCTATCCATTTTTACATGTACCTAAGTAACTGATAAGATCTTTCAGGAAATTCTTTTGGGGAAAAAGCTTTAATTTTTAATTTAATTAAAAATTTTATTTTTAATTTGAGAAAAAAATTAGCAAGATGCAAAGATCATCATCCCAAGTGTGACCACCAATGGGTAATCAAAGCAAAGCAGAGATTTTCCAACTGGAGGTGTGGCCACCCTTCAAACATCTCAGAATCTCTAGGGGTTTGGCAAAAAAGGAGTACAAGTCATTCTCATTCCTTCGACTATTAAGTTCCCACTTGTGGAAAGCACTATGTTAGGTACTCGGGACATGGAGTTAAGTCACACAGTCTGACTTCATGGAGCTCACATTCTATATGAGGAGAAACAACAAGAAACATGCCTATGATGCACGATGCAATCATGTTAGATGATACAATAAAACAGCAATGCTCCCTGTTATTATGGGGTGCTACTTGGAATGAGCTGGTTAAAGAAGACCTTTCTAAAAAGGATACAGTTAAATTGGATCTACAGAAGGAGAAGCACATGAATCTCAGAAAAACCAAAAAGTAATGCTCCAGATGTACAGAAGATTTAGAAGGCAAATCTTTAAAATTATTTATTTATTTATATGCCACAGGGAGGTTTATGGTAACAGGGAACAGGACTAATGTATGGCACACAGGTCTGAGCCTTAGCTTTGTATACAGTATCTAAAAATTAGTTTGCCTATTTAACTTTCTTGCCAACAACCTAATTATAAAACAAAAGTATTAATTAGGCTGGGCGCAGTGGCTCAAGCCTGTAATCCCAGCACTTTGGGAGGCCGAGGTGGGTGGATCACGAGGTCAAGAGATCGAGACCATCCTGGTCAACATGGTGAAACCCCGTCTCTACTAAAAATAAAAAAAAATTAGCTGGGCGTGGTGGCATGTGCCTGTAATCCCAGCTACTCAGGAGGCTGAGGCAGGAGAATTGCCTGAACTCAGGAGGCGGAGGTTGCGGTGAGCCGAGATCGCGCCATTGCACTCCAGCCTGGGTAACAAGAGCGAAACTCCGTCTCAAAAAAAAAAAAAGTATAATTAATTTTATACAATATCCCAACTCAAAAAAGGAAAGTTAATTGATGGATCAATATTCAAAAGCAGGCGTCCCCAAACTTTTTACACAGGGGACCGGTTCACTGTCCCTCAGACCGTTGGAGGGCCGCCACATACTGTGCTCCTCTCACTGACCACCAATGAAAGAGGTGCCCCTTCCTGAAGTGCGGTGGGAGGCCGGATAAATGGCCTCAGGGGGCCGCATGCGGCCCGCAGGCCATAGTTTGGGGACGCCTGTTCAAAAGTATTAATAGACCAGATAAAATTTTAAAGAAATATATATGAAGTCCTATATTTACATATCCAAGACAATAAATGTACAAATAAATAGGTATGAGCACAGAATCACACAATTCAAAAATTTAAGTACCCAAGAGTAACGATTACAGTATGGCAAAACTGAGAAATCTATTTCTCTAAAACTAATTTAAAGAGGACACAGTATAAACAAAGTGGGAACTCTCTATTGAAGGCTGTTTTGTTTTGTTTTCCTCAGGCAGTCTCGCTCTGTCACCCAGGCTGCAGTGCAATGGCGCGATCTCAGCTCACTGCAACCTCCACCTCCTGGGTTCAGCCTCCTGAGTAGCTGGGATTACAAGCACCTGGCACTACGTCCGGTTAATTTTTGTATTTTTAGTAGAGACAGGTTTTCACCATGTTAGTAGTCAGGCTCATCTCAAATTCTCGGCCTTCCAAAGTGCTGGGATTACAGGCGTGAGCCACCATGCCTGACATGAAGGCTGGATTTAAAAACAAGCCATTGTCCTCCAAAACACACATTCTATGTGCTAACACATTTCAAAAGGAATATGAATAAATTAGACAAAGTATCTCAAAACCAGGCTATACAAAAAAGCCAGGGAACAAACACAGAGAAGATAAAAAGATGTGAACCAATTTCAATCAACCCAATAATTTTTCATAAAGCAAAAGAAATAGAAGTGTTTTATTATGGCCCGAAAGGACTCTAGTGAGTCATTCTTTAACTTTCTGAATACATTTTCTTCTTTTTTTGAGACAAAGTCTCACTTTGTCGCCCAGGCTAGAGTGTGGTGGCATGATCATGGCTCACTGCAGCCTCCACCTCTCAACTCACGTGATCCTACCACCTCAGCACCTCTCCCCTACAAGTAGCTAGGACTACAGCCCCTGCCATCGTGTCCAGCTATTTTTTTTTTTTTTTTTTTTTTAAAGTAGAGATGAAGGGTGCTTCTTGCCCAGGCTGGTCTCTGAATCCTGAGCTCAAGTGATCCTCCCACTCCGGCCACCCAATGGTGGGATTACAGGCATGAGCCACTATGCCTGGCCAAGAAAATACTTTCAATAATCAAAGCATCCTGAAGACAGAACAAACATCCTCAGAGTTAGTGAGTTCCCAGATAAGTGAGGTATTCAAACAGTTTTGATAACCATTTTACTAGGATTTTGAAGAAAGAAGTCAACCATCAGTTAGTTTTCTTCTCCCTTCAGACTCTTACATTTTATGACTATTTTTAAAAAACAATGTTTCTGGCCAGGCGCAGGTGGCTAATGCCTACATTCCCAGCACTTTGGGAGGCCAAGGTGGGAGGAGCACTTGAGCCCAGGAGTTCCAGATCAGCCTGGGTAACACAGAAGACCCTGTCTCTACCAAAAGTTAAAACAAACAAACAAAAAAATTAGCTGGGGCCGGGCACAGTGGCTCACGCCTGTAACCCCAGCACTTTGGGAGGCCAAGGCAGGCGGATCACAAGGTCAAGAGATCAAGACTATCCTGGCCAACATGGTGAAACCCCATCTCTACTAAATATACAAAAAATAGCCAGGCATTGCGGCACGTGCCTGTGGTCCCAGCTACTCAGGAGGCTGAAGTTGCAGTGAGCCCAGATTGCGCCACTGCACTCCAGCCTGGCAACAGAGCAAGACTCAGTCTCAAAAAAAAAAAAAAAAAAAAAAAAAAAATTAGCCAGGCATGGTTGGCCCATACTTGTGGTGCCAGCTTTTAGGAGGCAGAGGCAGGGGGTTCACTTGAGCTCTCGTGGTCAAGGCTACAGTAGCTGTGATTGTGCCACTGTACTCCAGCCTGGGTAACAGAGCGAGACCCTGTTCTCAGAAGTAAAAACAAACAAACAAAAACGTTATTCTGTAAAACTATATTACCTCCAGTTCTTAGTTATACAATGACATGAATGGGAAAGTGCCCCCGAAGTTATCCTTCAGGAAATAATGAGGACTCATTACTGTTATAAAAAAGTCCTCATCACGCTAATAGTTTTAAAGTACTCTACTGTTACTGAGCACGCTGAGATTTTTCCAGGTTCCAATCCTTACCCCTGATTAATTAGCCTGGTTTAATAAACAAGGAGTTTTCAGTGACAATAAACAACATGTAAAACTTTCTATGGATGTGTGGATGTGTAGAAATTTAAACTTAAAAGCTGCTCATTAAACAACAATTATTAAGAAAATGCAGACTGGGCACGGTGGCTCACGCCTATAATCCCAGCACTTTGGGAGGCCGAGGTGGGCAGATCACGAGGTCAGGAGTTTGACACCAGCCTGACCAATATGATGAAAACCCATCTCTACTAAAAATACAAAAATTAGCCGGACGTGGTGGTAGGCACCTGTAATCCCAGCTACTCAGAAGGATGAGGCACAAAAATCACTTGAACCCAGGGGGCAGAGGTTTGCAGTAAGCCAAGATCATGCCACTGCACTCCAGCCTAAGACACACAGTAAGACTCACTCTCTCTCTCTCTCTCTCTCTCTCTCACACACACACACAC